AACCATTCTGTGGTTTATAGGCACCTTGGAATATATTCACATGCACTTTGGAAGATACCCACACAGACACTACCAAATTCCCAGCCTGGCAATTAAAACAAGTTTCAAGTTGTAAAACACCCACACCAGAGACCATGGTTCAGAGACTGTGAGAAATGCTGATACAAGAAACATGAGTGGAAACAAGAAGCTCCACAAAGGTCACCTCTGAAGTCAGAGCACAGGCAGACACAGTCAGTGGGCATGATGGGGTGGGTCAGGGTTGGACATGGGGCTGGATGTGGCTCTGGGCAGCCTGGTCTGGTGGTTGGCAACCCTGCACACAGCAGAGGGGGTTGAACCTAGACGATCATTGTTCAACCCAGGCCATTCTATGGGGACCTCAGGGGTCTTTCCCAGCCTCAGCAGTTCTGTGACTCCATGGTCTATTTGTAACACAGTCCCTACGTGACGTTTACAACCTCATAGGTAAATCTGTTGCTTTGTCCTTTGTGAGAATAAGAAAAATTGTCTGAGAAAGAACTTGGGTGCCTTCAGCTGAGAGCAAAGGGCCTCTGTGGTTTCACTGCTGGTCTGAGCTCCTCACCTGTGGGTTCTGAGACGTGGTTGGTGTGTGCTGGAAGGTGCTCAGCGTGGTGGCTGGCAGACGGTGAGCCGTCCTTCACTTTCTCTAATGAAACATCAACGTAACCCTCGGGGGCTTTTGGTTCTTGTTCCATGCTTACAGTTGTTTCTGAAAATGGAACGCAGAGAATAAAAAAATGGCATTAATTTGGATCAGATTAAGCAACATAAAAATCACCTCCTCAACTAACCCCCGTCTTCTGAAGGAAGTGAGAGGAGTTCCTTGCTTTCAAAACAGCAATAACGTGCCTTGGGATCACTCCCCACCAGCTCTCCCCTCCTGCAAGTTTAAACATCCTGCTAAAGCAGATCTGTATCACAGAATGGTTTGGGCTGGAAGGGATCTCTAAAGGCACTGTAGTCCACCCCTCTGCGATGCACAGGGACACCCACAGCTCCACCTGTGCTCACAGCCCATCCCTGACTGTGGGTGTCTGCAGGGATGGGGCACCACCACCTGTCACTGCAATCTGTGCAGTGCCTCACTGCCCTTAGTGCATGAACTTCTTCCTTATATCCATCTCAATCTCTCCTCTATTAGTTTGCAAGCATTTCCCTTTGTGCCATCACACAGGCTCCGCAGCACTCCATTATCCCACCAGGAGCGTGGGTGCCACTGCTGTCCTGCCACATCATTTCAAGGCTGATGGAAGCTTTTGGGCAGAGGAACTCACCTGCAGGAGCTTCGTGGGAGGGGGACTTGTCACGCTCAGCAGAGGGCTCGGATGTCACCAGCTCTTCCAGTGCAGTGACCTCGGTGTCAGCTGCACAGACAGACTTTGCTTCTGGTGCAGAGACAAAACTTGAATCTACAGGAGAAGGTTTGGCATCCAGTGCTGGAGCAGTGCTGGAATCCATAGCGTGAAGATGGTCCTCTTCTGCTGGAAAGGTAAACTCTGAATCTGCAGCACGATGAGACTCAGCATCAGCTGTGGGGGCAAATGTCAGATCCACAGCATGGTGAGGATCCATATCTGCTGCTGGGGAGAACTCCAAACCCACGGCGCAATGGGGCTGAGCGTCTGCAGCTGGGCTCCAGGCAGCATCCAGCACTGGGGTGGATGCAGCAGCAGCACTGGGAGGTTTGGCCTCTGCTGCAGGGGCAAAACCCACATCCGTGCCCTGGGGGGGCTCAGCTTCTGCTGGAGGCACAGATCCAGCATCCACAGCATGAGGAGGCTTCGTGTCCCCTGCCAGGATGGGCCCAGCTTGCTCTGCATCCGAGGCAACAACACTCTCAGCATCTGCTACAGAAACACAGATGGCAGAAACGAGCAAAAAATAAAGAACATGAACACCTGACAGCACAGGCTATGGCTGGAGAACAGAGGGCTCCCTCTCCCCTCTTCTCACTCTTTACACATCGACAGAGATGGCACCACCTCCCAGTGAACCACCAGCTGCACTCTGTTCTTCCACGCCCAACGTGGCCTCATTCATTTTTACACATTATCTACTAAAACTCAAGCTGCTGGTTTCAAAATAACATTTGCCAGTTCCTAGTACTATCAGATACCTCTGCACTTAAGCTGGTGCTCACAAAGATCCCCTGAAGGGAGTTTTCCAGCTTTAGCTTGCAATGATTTTAAACTGAGACAGGGGAGGTTTGGGTTGGATATTAGGAGGAAGTTTTTGAGCCAGAGGGTGGTGAGGCACTGGCACAGGTTGCCCAAGGAGGCTGTGGATGCCCCATCCCTGCAGGCATTCAAGGCCAGGCTGGATGTGGCTCTGGGCAGCCTGGGCTGCTGGTTGGTGACCTGCACACAGCAGGGGTTGGAACTGGATGAGCATCGTGCTCCTTTGCAACCCAGGCCATTCTATGAGTCTGTGATGATTATCAAAGGCCACATTATGAAGAGCCCCAGTGTCAGAGCAGCCCTCAGCTTCAGCCACCCCAGGCAGCATCTCTACATGGTGACCCCGATACCTGAGATGCACAGCTGAGGTTCAAAAGCAGAATCTCTACTCGCTGCCATTAGGGAAATCAATGAAGTCCCACTGTGATAAAACCACCATTCCGCTGAACAAAAGCAAAAGGGGGGTGGTTCCTTTCTTCTCTTTAAGGATTTTGATTTTACTGCTGAATCAGACGGTGAGGAAACAAACACGTACCACGAGTCCCCTGCTGTCTGTCAATAAATACCCTACAGATGAGTGCAGTGGTACCTTGTGGTGCCTCGGCAGCTTCGGCCTCTGCTGGAGATGCTGCTAATGCCGTAGGAACAAAGTAAGGAGCTGCTGCTGCAGGGCACTCCGGCACAGTCAGCACTTCTGCTTCCAGGGCTGTGGGGGGCACTGGGCATAAAGAACAGTTTATTAAGAACTCAAGGACCTCAGCAAACAGCTTCAGCTCCTGGACTTGGGGCGCGAATCGCTCCTCTGTCATCAGAAGAACGATGTGGGCAATGTAAGAACACACAGCATGCTGTGGGAAGCCCTGCAGCAGCACTGTGCAGCACCCAGCAGTACAGCACCCAGCTGTAAGGGAGCCCTGAGCTCCAAAACCACTGCAGATCCATCAGCAGTGCTGAAGGGCTCTGCTCTTGGCTCCTTTACCAAAATGAGGCAGACCCTTGGGAGTGAACACACAGCCCTGATTTGTACCCCCCACTCCCCCCAGAAATCTGACTTTCATTTCTCCAATGCTTTTTGTTTCTTGAAAAGGCAGATGAGGACAGAGGCTCTGCTTCTGCTCTTCACAAACTCTACAGACAGTTCCCATAGATCAACTCAGAACTATTTTTACCTGGGGGCTCAGCAAAGAAAGAGGCATCCGGTCCCTTTGCGTAATGCTGAGCTCCCATCCAATGATCTTCAGGCACTATGGAAAACACAACACAGTCAGTCCCAGCCCAACACTGCTTCATTTTTAAAGCTCTTTGCTCAAGGGTTCAACTGCTGCTTTTTCGACTTCACTCTTGGGGTAACGAGTTATCAGCTCACTTTAGGAATGCCATCAGAACACCGTGGTCTTCTGCAATCACTGCTAGGCACAGCCTGCACTGCAGAGGAGTTATAGCCAGCACTGACCCCAGGAGCTGACAGAGCAGGTTTGGACAATTCCACAACCACAGAACGGTTTGAGTTGGAAGGGGCCCTAAATGGCCATGTGGTCCCACTCCCTGCAGTGCACAGGGACAGCCCCAGCCTCACCAGGTGCTCAAAGCCCATCCTCTGTCACCCCGAATGACTCAAGATGGGGAACCATCACCTCTCTGAGAAGTGAGAATCTTTGCTTGATGGAATATTCATCTCCAAAGTACCTTCAGAACATTCACACTGACCAAGGACTGGTGCTTCCAACGGGATATTTTGGAATCTTGACTCACTCTATGTACTGCCTGTTCTATTTTGGAGAAGGCTGTGGGGAGACCTCATGGTGGCCTTCAGTGCTTGAAGGGAGCGGATAAACAGGAGGGGGAACGGCTGTGTGTGAGGGTGGGTGGTGATGGAATAAGGGGAATGGTTTTAAACTGAGACAGGGGAGGTTTGGGTTGGATATGAGGAGGAAGTTTTTGAGCCAGAGGGTGGTGAGGCACTGGCACAGGTTGCCCAAGGAGGCTGTGGATGCCCCATCCCTGCAGGCATTCAAGGCCAGGCTGGATGTGGCTCTGGGCAGCCTGGGCTGCTGGTTGGTGACCTGCACACAGCAGGGGGTTGGAACTGGATGAGCATCGTGCTCCTTTGTAACCCAGGCCATTCTGTGATTCTATGATACCTCCCACCAAGGTTCTTTAGAACTACTACACTGACAATTTCCAGTGGCACATCCTCCAAACCCAACCAGAGGAAGACAGATGGTGACAGCAAAACATCTGTTTCTCACCTGCTTTGTCTTGCAGAAATGGTGCAGCTGAATCAAGGCCCATGAAGGCTGACGGGTCCAAGACCTCTGCAGGGCAATAGGGGGACCCCAGGAAAGGTTGCTGGGGCACCATCACAGACCCATGTGGCACTGAAGAAACAAAAAGCTGTTTGTCAGCCCTGGGCTGCCTCTAACAACTCCCCTCCACAATTTTAAGTCTACAGCATCTGCAAAATATCTGACACTGCTCTGCTCACAAGCAGCTTACATAAGATTTGTCACCAACTTGGTGCTCCCTCGTATTCTGAACTCTATATGTGCTTTTTTCCAGCAAGGTCTAAGACAGTAAATGAGTGCTTCTGCTCCTGTGAATTCCTGTTAACAAGCACACCAGATGCAACAGCCCAGGCACTGAAGCTCCCTTGGAGGGAAAGGCTCATGGACATTAGGCGTTCAGCACTGAAGGTAAGAGCCAATGGCAATTCCAGCCCAACTCAATGGGTGCAGGGCCTTTCTGCATGAAGGCACTTCAAAAATGACCTTCCTGGAAGCAGGCACTGGAATGCCTCCAACCACAAATATAACCATGCAAAGAGATGATACCTCTTATCAGCTGAACAGCTTTCAGTACATGCAAGTCAATGGAGGAGACACCCACAAATGGCCACCAGAAGGAACGCTGAGGAGGAACTCACCATGGATGTCTGTGGAAGCGTCAGCATGGTCTGTGAAGAGCTGCACATTCTTCATGTCAGGAGGAAAGGACAGGTCTGGCAGGTTCTCCGCTCGGTGCACACCAAAGGGGTCTGAGGGACACAGAAAGAGGCAGCATTACTGCAGGGCTGAAGACACAGCGTGGCACAGGATTGTTGGCACAGAGATGCATGCAGTGCTGCCATGGAGGTGGTATCAGCACAGCAGAGGGAAGGACCTCCAAGGAAAGCTGCCTGCCAGAGGAGGGCCAGCACCTCCATCATTAGACTGCACGGCCAACAGAAACCAGGGCTGGCTGCTCAGACTGCTTAGAAAGGAGAACCGACTGCAATTCAGATGGTAACTGCTGCACCAAGAATCCTTGTGCCACTGTGTTCTGTAAGATGGGTTGTTTCCCCAGAATGCCATCCCTCTGACAAGGAAATGCCACAGAGATGAGCTTCCCACGAGCTGCTCGCTGTGCTTCAACACACCCAGGTTCTGTAAGGCTGCAAAAGGGATGGAAACACGGCCTTCCCCTCGCAGGCGAAGCTCCCCATGGCTCACAGCCCCCTCCCATTCCCCACACGGCCCATTTCAGACACCACACAGATCTCTGGATTAAGCACAATTAAAGGAGCCTCAGTTGAAGGCTTTCACTATCTCTCTTTTTTTGTATTTCTAAATGTCAGATGTGCTATCTCGGGAGATGACAGCACAACTGCCACTGCTCATTGTGCTCCAAAATGTCACACTGGAGTGAGCATCACGCAATCTCTTATAAATCCATCAGACTATTTGAGATGCCAGTACAATGTCTGCCTTCAGAATACACTTCAGAAAATGGTTTCTGCACTAGATAACCTGCACTGACTCGCTTCATTTCACACTCATTTCATTTAGGCCCAGAGCACACAGTGCAACGGGCCCAGTGCTTAAATTGCCCCCATCGTCCATAGCATCACCTGGCTATGGAGTGCAGCTCCAAAATCCCACTCTTCCATCTAACACAGCAACAGGGGAAAAGCTGCACTTCAGAAACTAAAGGCTCTTTGCTTCCAGTTCCGTTTCTCATCATCATAACAATACAGAACTGCTTCACAGAGCATCTTAGAAAACACGAGATTCAGGCAGCAAGAAGGTTATTGAGTGAGCAGGTCTGCCATGTTCAAAAGTCCTAAACACATCAGGTTTTGTCCTGTTTCTGCCGCTGTCTTTCTCAGGCTGGCGGCCTGCTGCAGTCTGGGCAGCACATTTTTCCTACTCAAAAACCAGCAAGTCATTTTCCATAATTTTTTTTATCAAAAACAAGAGAAGTCCTTGGAGGTGTTGGAGGCCAGGTTGGATGGGGCCCTGGGCAGCCTGGGCTGCTGTGAAATGGGGAGGTTGGTGGCCCTGCATTGGTGGGGGGTTGGAGCTTCGTGATCCTTGAGGTCCCTTCCAACCCAGCCATTCTGTGATGCTGTGTGAAGAGAAAACTGGGTGTTGGTAGAGCAGGTATCTCTGTGCAGGCACAGGGCACGCTGCCATAGCTGTGCCAGACTGCGCTCCAGGGCAAGGCAGGGGCTGGGCTCAGCTCCAACCTGACAGCAGTTCAACCTGGTGTGATGAGGTTCCATGTTAGGAAGGTGAGAGCACGAGAAGGAAGTTTTAGGGATGGATGTGAGGGCTCTGCTGTGTTACAGAAGTGACCAAAGAGTGGTGCTACAGCTGTGGAGCACCATACCTGCCATCTCCATGGGTTTGAACACAGGCTGTGGCTCAAAGCACAGATCTCTGTCATCCATGGCCCACGTGTCGTTGCGGTCGAGGAACTCTTTGTAGGACAGCTTTTCATCCATGATTTCTCCCGGGAACACTGAAATTGGAGAAGAAAATGGTGCAGTCCATACAAAAACAATAAATCAAAGCAATTCAAAATTTATTCCTGAACGATACGGCATCGAAAAGGCAACAAACAGCACCAACTGTTGGCCAAGAGTTCATGGCTCTTTTCCTACTGCTTTGATCCAGACAGTTAGATGGAAGATGCAAAACAATGGGAACTTCTGCATCAGAAAGTGACAAACAGGACCAAGAACAGAGAGCTCCCAGCACAGTGCTGTGCTGCTGCCAAATGCTGGGCAACCCACGGCAGCTGCTTTGGGAGCTCACCCCCAAAGCTGGCAGAACAGCCCCAACCACACCTGGCAGCAAACAACAGGAGCACAGCTTGCTTCCAGTTACAAGGAAGACCAGATCATCTTAGGGAATGCCCTCCCTGAATACCTACAAGGCTGTTATTTGGATATCTTCCTGAACCCAAACCTCCCCCAGCTCACAACACCAGCTTTCCATATGCATCCACACACAGAAGGTTTCCACCCAGCCAAGGAAATCTGGAAAGGAAATGGCTTCAGACTAAAAAAGAGGGGAAGCTGAAATGCTGGCACTGCTCTGAGCTGTGGTGCCCAGGCCTGGAGGTGCCCAAGGCCATGGCTGGGCCCTGGGCAGCCCGAGTTGGGGGCAGGCAGCCCATGGCAGGGCTTGAGGCTGGGGGGTCACTTCCAACCCAACCATGCAGTGGTTCTGTGACTGTGTGACAACACCCTGCCCTGACAAGGGAGGTAAGACAGATGCTATGATTTAATGGGAGTCCACGACTGCAGGAGAGCTGCCGCAGTGCTGACCCAGCTACACAGCAATAAACTGACCTCTGCATGCACTCTGAAGGCCAGAGAGTGGAAATGCAAACTGTGATGCCTGTAATTACAAAGCACTGCCTCCCTTCTGATGTGTAAACAACATCAGAGAATGGCTCTGGAATAAATGCAGTTTCTGCCCACGAGGGGAGTGATGCCCATGGCCATGATGCAGCCCCACAGATGCTGCTGGCATCCCAGTGAGGTTCTGCCAGTGGCTCTCTGCTGCTCTGTGCCCATATTTGCCACGGCCACAGGAGCTGATGGCAGCTGGGGGACCCTGGGCAGCCTGGCCTGGTATGAAATGTAGACATACCATTGGTGGCCCTGCCTGTGGTGGGGGGGTTAAAACATCATGACCCTTGAGGTCCTTTCCAACAGAAGTCATTCTGTGATGCTATGCGATCAATATCATAGAATCACAGTACCACCAAACCTCTACCATCACCGAGTCCAACTGTCCCCCACCCCCACTATGTCCACCCATGGAATCACAGAACCATTCAGGCTGGAGAAGAACCCTGAAGCCACCACTGCCACCCACCCCCACCATGCCCACTGCCATTAGCCCCATGCTACATCCCCTGCTTCTGCAACACCCCCAGGATGGTGCCCCCCCCCAGCAGCTGCGCCAGCACCGATCACCCTTTGGAGAAGGAATTGCCCCTATAAGGCAAACCGAGCCTCCCCTGGTGCAGAGTGATGCCAGCCCCCTTGGATGGGAAACATTAAATGAGGCATCAGATGAAACCAGGGCTCAGAAGCAGCATCACATCGCTGCTCACACCCAGCAGCACAGGGCACAGCTGATGGCTGGCATAGGAGCAGCAGCTGTGCAGTGCAGCTGGGAGCAGCGGCTCCCCTTGAGCTGTTCTGGCTCCATGAGTGTGCCAAACACAGGCTGTGTCAGCTCCCACATCGAGTGAGAGCAACAAACCCACCACCACTCCTGGACACATGGTGTGCTGCTTCCCGGCCATGGAACAGCAGAGCTGACACCTGCAGCCAATCTGCCCCCTCCCCATCCCAACGCTTGGTTCCTCCCTACTTAAATGAGCCCAGTGGAGGTCGAGGAAAGAGATGGCAGAAAACTGCAGGAAAGATTTCCCAGTTCCAAATGCAGCTCTGCAGAGCTAAGCACCACAGCACCCACGGGATGTACCACACAAGCCCAAAGCAAACAGAAACCTCCAGCTGAACTCCCTTGAGGAGCACCGCAGCCAAGTGCCTCTAAACACCAACCAGCAGCAAACACAGCTCAAAACATCAACTGCACATCCCACAAACCTGCCATTACCTCCGGTATTAAAGCTCTGCTCACAGCTGAACACCTCGTTATGATCAGCGCTAACAGGAGGTAACAGCTGACAAAACCTCAGCTGAAGAAAAGCATTCCCTGCACAGCACTTACACAGCAAAGTCCCTTCTGAAAGCAGGAATGTGGATCCCATGCACACAGCCTTCCCCGAGATGATCTGGACACACACAACATTCAGCACAGCCACTGCCAGCACCCGCTTCTTTCTTCTGTCATCTGCTTGGAGTTAATCCATGCAGAGCAGCACCCACAGCACACAGAGCTGCAGGGCACAGGGGAGAGCAGCACTGTGGGGAGGGGATTACAGTGGCAAAGCCTTTGTACTGGGGGAGATGCTAATCTTGGGAGGGCAGATCTCTAGCTAGAGGTTAAGTACCTTCTAAGTTAATGAGTCTGGAGCCACGGGATGCCCCTGCCAGAGCCAAACCAAGCAAAGAGGGAAAGAGAAGCTTAAGAGCTTCTCTCAATGGCTGATCCCCAAGCTAATTTGCTCAGACTGCACTGGTCCAGCATCTCCATGGGATGCCAGGCACGCTAAGGCATCCACCAAGACTTGTTTTGGTGGAACAATCCCCATCCCACCACCAATCTGTGGGGACCACAAAGGAAATGAGGCTGCACAGCCTCAGCAGGGCACATCTACCCCTCCTCTGCAAGGAACGTGAAGCAACATTGGAACAGGTTGCACAAGGAGGCTGTGGATGCCCCATCTCTGCAGGCATTCAAGGCCAGGCTGGATGTGGCTCTGGGCAGCCTGGGCTGCTGGTTGGCGACCTGCACACAGCAGGGGGGTTGAAACTAGGTGATCTTTGAGGCCCTTTTCATTCCAGGCCATTCTATGATTCTCTGAATTGGCAGCAGGCAGAGAGTTGGGAGCATGCATGGCTTTATGCTCGTGTGAAGCTGTGAGCTGCACTGGGAGCATCCCAGCTCCTCCGCTTTGCACTGCTCCACCAACACCAGCAACTTCAGATTCTTGCTTCGTTCCATGGAAGGCTCCAACCCCTGCAGATGAGCACTGCAGACAAGCTGCACCCATGCCCCAGGATCGAAGGGACAGGCAGACAAGCAGCTACATGAAAAAGGCTTAGCTATCAGCAGACTGCACTGCACCCAGGGCTGGATGAGGTTACGTTAAAACTGACCTCGCTGCAGGGAAAAGCAAATTAAAATCCACCACCAAGTTGGATGGGGAAGATCGGGAAGATACGACGGGTCCACAAGAACCTGGAGGGCATTTCAGATGGCGCTGACAATTGGAGAAGCATTTATTGCTTTCCTGATGAAATTCCACGCCGTTACATAAGCTGGAATGGTAAAAGAGCTGAGTGCTTCTGACAGTCAGAACCAGTGTCACCTCTCTGCAAAGATGCACAGTCAGAAGCTGCAAAGTTCAATGAGAGTTCACCACTGGGGGCCTCAGCCCAGTGATCAGCCTCTCCAGATCCCCCTGTTGGCCTTCCCACCCCCAGGCAGATCAAGACTTCCTTGCAATTTGGGCTCAGCTGCTGTACTCCCCCAGTCAGACCCTCTACCGACCCCTGAGGAGCTCCACCTCTGACTGAGCACCAGCGGGATGCGACTCCATTCCCCACCACTCTCTGGGCCCGGCCACATCCAGCCAGTTCTTTACCCAGCAAAAAGTGTATCTGTCCAAGCCATGGGCTGCCAGCTTCTCCACAATACACTGCGAGACAGTGCCAAAGGCTTTGCTGCAGGCAGACCAAAAACAGCCCTTCCCTCGTACACCAGACGGGTCGCCTGTCACAGGAGATCAGGCAGACCAGGCAGGACCTGCCCTTCATCGACCCATGCTGGCTGGGTCGTTGTCTGGCTGTCCCACACACAGCTCATCTCCCTCAAGATGATCTGCTCCACAACCTTTGGGCACCGAGCTCAGGCTGACGGTTCCCCAGATCCTCCTTACGACCCTTCTTGGGGATGGGAGTCCCAAAGGTGGGATGCGGCCCTGGGGGATGCGACCAGTGGGCATGGGGGGGTAGGCTGGGGTCGGAGGTGGATCTCAGAGGCCTCCTCCCACCTGCACGGCTCCGTGATCGACACGAAGCTCGGAGAAAGCAAGCGTGGCCAAGCAAGGCACCCAGAGAGCAGCAAACAGCAGGCAAAATGGGTTTCTCCCGCTCGGCTCATTCCAGAAGCACCATTCTCACTGACCCAAAAAAGCCTTTGTGGACAAGGCCTCTGACCCTGGTTTGGGGCAGGTTGTCTGATTTTTGTAACAAAGGCACTTCAAGTCCTATTTTTGCACAGCTGACGCCAGAGGTTCAACTCCACGGCGTTGTCACAGGCACACGGAAACACAACGGCTCTGTTTTGGAAACCTCTGACTTCAAAAGGGAGCGGGCATCTGCACAGTGAGCTGAGAAGGATGTTTGCTGGAGGGAGGTGGGGCTACAGGGCTGCTGCCTGTGCTGCTTTGACATCAGGCTCTGGATTGTTATTACTTACTTCTTTTATGTGCTTTTTTTTTGCCATTTGCATTTAAAAACGGAGAGGTTGAGAACAGTGTTTCAATGGACAGTGCTATTGATTCACATGGGGTTCCCTCCTGCAGCAGAGGGCTCTCTGCATGCCCTACCAGTGTCTCCTTCAACCCAAAGCTGTACCAAACCCACAAAGCCATCCCACGAGAGCCCAGTGTGGGATGCAGGCAGCCAACGACGCAACGCTGGACATATGGAAGTCCTGCAGCAGCAAAGCTAAGGCTGAGCCTGCTGCAGCTCCCACCCCCTTGGGCCACGGATCTGAGCTTCACCCTTCTGCACTGAGACCAAATCATGCTGACCCAAGCTATTGCTAAAAACAAGCCTGCAAACACTCCATGCAAAGCCTTTCGTCAGCTTTAAGGTCAGCCTC